AGTTATTTAGCTAAGTATATAAAATACTATTTAATACTAAGTAGAAATAGTTACTAGCTACTATACTACTAGATAGATAGAGATATACTTTTCTAACTTTTATATAATAGCTTCTTACTAAAAAGTAACTCTATAGTTTACTATAGAACTTAAAGATATAGACTCTACTATAATATTATAGCTCTAGAAGTAGAAATAATAAGTATAACTAAGTAGTAACTATATAGCTTAAAAGATAGTAAAGATATAACTATAGATTAGTATAAGTATAGTACTTATATACTATTAGTGTATATAAAGTATCTATACACTATAGTCTATATATAGTAAAAGAAATACTTTAGTATATAGTATATAGTATTATTAAAGCTAATCTATAGTATACTATAGTATATAAGTAGTAAGAGACGCGTAGTACTATACTATATATAGTAGAATAAATAGCTAATCTATATACTATATTAAATAACTATACTTATATTAAAAATAAAAATATATATAATTATAATAAAGTAATTATTAGTCTTTAAACTATATCTACTAACTACTATTAAGAATATATCTAGAGTAAGTATTTTTCTACTAAAAACTTTAGATAAAATATAGTATATAGTTTATATTAATTTTACTTAAGATAATAAACTTTTCTAATATTATTATATACTTTTAACGCTACTAAGTCTACTAGTATATAAGCTAATCTATACTAGTCTAAATAAATACTTTTATAAAGAAAATACTTTACTTTTTTTATATTTATAATAATAGCGCTAAAGCCTTACACTAAGATACTCTAAGAAATATTTCTCTATACTTAAATTATTCTTCTTACTAGATAGATATAGTGTTTAGTTATTAGATAACCTTTAATATAATAATATTATATTAGAAAAGCTTTTTAATATTAAAACTATAGATAAAGTAGTTTTATACTTTTATATATAGTATCTAAAATAGTTAATAGAAATAATATAACTTAACTCTATTAAGTCTATATAAATTATAAATTCTAGAAGTATTAAAAGCTAAACTATAAGCTAAGAACTAAATAAAAAGCTTTATAAAAGTAGAAACTAAATAATCTATTATCTATCTAACTTATAGTTATATAGTATATATTATATAAAGTTTATTTTTACTTTTAGAAAGAATAGAATATTATAAGTTATTATAGCTTTAGTAAATCTAACTTCTAATAAATAAAGTTATAAGAGTTATATAGATAATAGAAAGAAAGTATCTACTTTAATAGATAATATTACTTTTATAGTAGACCTTTTCTTATAAACTATAATAGTAGTAATACTAACTTAGTTTAAGTTTTAAACTAAGTTTTAGAATTTACTATAATATCTTTAGATTTAGCTATAATTACTAGTAGTAATTAATTAATATAACTTTAGTATATATATATATTTTAGTTTTATATATATAAAGTATATTATACTACTATAAGTATTAATTCTAGCTAATAATAATTAAAAGATCTAAAAGTAGCTTTATTTAAGTTTAAATTACTAAAACGTACTATAGTAAGTCTTAGACTTATACTAGTAAAATAGTATATATATCTTATTTTATATATATATTATAGTACTTTAATAATTAGCTATATTAGTAATATATTTACTAAGTAGCTATTTAGCGTAATTTATAACTATAAGCTAGAATAAGTAGTTATTTAGAACGCGCTAAGAAAATTATATATTTATTACTTTTTTTACTTATTAGTACTTACTACTTTAAACTATAATTTACACTTTATATTCTACTTAAAGAAACTAGTAAATAGTTAAAAAATATACTTAATTCTAGATTAATACTTAGTAAATATAAAAAAGTAAAAATAGCTTATATATATAAAGATAATATAGATCTAGTAGTAAAATAATAGCTTTAGTATAAAAAATATAGTTTTACACTACTAGTTAATCTTTATAAGTATATAAAATATATTATTTTTAGTATAAAGTAAAGAAAGCTATAAATATAAAGTACTATTTTTAGTAGCTAAGTATTTATAAAATAAAAGTATTTACGCTAATATTAGTATAAGTAGATTATTTTATAATTTAAATAATATATAGTTTAATAGATAAACTAAAAAAAAAAAAAATTAGACTTAAAGTAAAATTTATATACTTTATAGTAGAATATAAAAAGCTATAGCTCTAAAAGCTATAATAAAGTAATAAAGTATTCTAGTATTATACGCAACGTTACTTTGTACGCAACAGAGTTAACTCTAATAGAAGGCTAATGCAAGGAATTCTAACGTCGAAAGGCTAGACCGTTCTTCTATTACCTGTTCTGGTTTACCTCTAAGATAACCTCTATCTACGTAATAGCAAGACTGCAGGCATTATTATTTTAAACTAACTTTGAACAGGCGTAGTATTGCGCCGAAGCAGCCTCGCGTTCTCGCTTGCGCGACACTACCCGCTTTCGTCTTCAAGTGTACCAGCTCCAGCTCTTTCTCCAGCTCTAACTCGTTCGCGCGTCGCACCCTCTCCTTCATGTCTGCGCGATGCATGTCGCCGAGGCCCACCTTTGCTTCTTTGCGTTCTGAGTTCCACTGCGACAGGCTTTCGCGTGTCGGTATCGCGCGCCGTCCGACTCCAGGGGTGCCTCGGTTTGAAGGCATAGCCATGTCGGGGTGGCGAGCCAGCGGCGGTGGCGCAACGTACTGCGGCGGAGGGCCAACATACATGCCCGGTTGCGCATGACCATGGAGAGATGAGCGGTGCGTCTGCTCTGGGAGAGCGCCTTCGAATGGTGAGGGGCTGAAGCGCGAAGACGATGTACGCTGCTGGCCGCACGACCCCGGTTGCGCAGCTGTAAGTGCCGCAAGTGACTCCGAACGCGCTCTTCGCACTTCGCCTTCACGATGCTGCTGAGCGGAGCGAGACATGCTGCATCTCCGGTTCTGTTGCGACCGGTCACTATGAGCAGTGCGTTTGGTAGGCTGCGACTCCGTACGTGCAGTCAATTCCAGCCGCACCGGGCCTTTCGATCTCGGTCGCTGGCGGTTCTCATGGGCCGGAGTGGGCATTCGACGATATCTTGTCTTCGATGGCAAGGCTAGGGGCATCGGTGGAAGTGCAGCTGTCTCGAACGGTTTGTCGAAAGAGTCATACCGTGATTCTTGTGCGGCGCGATCGAAGGATCCAGCACTTGTGTATACTGCACTAGCCTCAAGACTATGCGACCAGTGATGGGACTGGCTACTGATGGTCCCAAGGCTGGATCGGCGGTCAAGAGTGCCGCTTGAAGACGAGGAAGATGACAACCCGCTCATCGGATAGCCGTTGGCGAGTATCTGGGGATGACTGGAGTGTGATCGAAGGTTGGACTGTGAGGCAGAGCGCAGCGATTTCCTTTCCATCCTGGGATAACTTCCATCTTGCGGGATGTGTTGCAGGGACTGGCGGCGACGTTCCCGCGATGTTACTGCCCCTATGCGATGGAAGCCTGGATGGTCTCGTCGGGCGTTCCAGCCTTCCTGTTCCACATTCATCCCTCTGCCATGAAGACTCTGTTCGTACCGTTCTTCGTGGTTTACTGGAGAAAGCGAAAGCGATGCAGGAACCGTATTCTCGGCTTGAGAGCGTCCCGAGCTCGACAAGTGTCGGTACCGACTTGGATGTCTGTTGGTCGTTCTAACATCCCTTCCGGCTGTGAGGGCGCGTTCCCGGTCTCGCGGTGGCTTCTGTATCGCAGCGGCGAAGGCACGAAACTCAGGAGTCGCCACGTCAGTCGCATTGAGTTCGCTGATACTATGGAGAGTACGCCGTCTTTCCTGTAACTGTTGTAGCTTGGTTTGAGACTGAATCTTGAGCGATTGAACCTGAGGGTGAGGCTTCTGGAGAGGCATGTTGAAGGTTGGTCTTCCTGGAAGGATGAAAGGTTGCTTTCAGACACTCCAGGCGGCTCATATGTCGATGTCGAAGGGTTGTAAGCTCTCACTGAGTTCTTGTAGCTTCCTGGTGGCTTTCATCGATGCCGCGCGCCATGAACCGTATTGTCGGTGATCTCGGAACTGAGCTGCATATTGTGCTACGAACCCTGCATACTTGCCAAGCGAGAGTCCGTCGGCGGTGTGTACGTTTCGTTACCGTTGCACCTCGAATGGCTCCTTGGCCAAGCAGACACGGAACGGGGACGCGGATTGCTTTGCGAGTAGCGGTCAGTGTGAACGCTGCTGTTCACGAGGAGTGACACAAACGACTTGGCATAGTCTCGTATCTTCTGGGCAACATAACACCAGACCAGTTGACGCGGACAGTAATGCGTTACTGAATCGTTGAGTTGCTGCAGCGTGCATGCTCCAGTCGAGGCCTGCGCCTCTAATGTCGCTAGATGAACCATGACTGGGATGAGGCGGTTGCTGCAGATCGTCTCGGGACAGCCACCTCTTCGGCGACCCAGCTGTGAGGGACGAAGCGCATGGCGGCCAGGTGGTCCGAGATGGTCGGCCATGTCGGGTCCAGTATGACGGGAAAGCCAAGTCACGTTACGGGTACAGCAGCCTAAAATTGTGATCTCATAGGTCGCAGTGGGCGCGCCACCACGCTGGGTTCGGTGCGACGAGGTACAGCAGGGGAATGGGCCGTGAGATCGAGACGCCTATGAAGACGACGCGGAAGAGAGCTATGATGCTATGCGAAGTCCGTCGAATGAGAAGCGCGTGAATGCTGGCTGCATTGATGAAGATGATTAGCATCTTTTCACAACGCAGTGTAAGGCTCTTGTGTGAGCTAAGGCCAGGATAGCTGCCGTGAGATTTGATAACTCTGAGACATCACACATTCCCGCGTCCCGCAAACTCAATACTCGAGATCGGCGAGACTGGTAGGATAATCACACATTCGGGGTCGATTGCGGGGACGCCGGGGCGCCATCGGTGGATGGGACGCGGAATTGGTATGCGCGGAGACATTAACTTCATTGGTGTTCGCTGCCCACAATGACATCTGGCGTCTGGCGTATCTCTATCCTCGTTAGCCTTCCTGGGCGTCCGCTTCCTCTCTAGCTTTCGTCCGTCCATCTTGCGTTGCCTCCACCGTCAGCTCACATCCAGCGACATTCTCTCTGGCCAGCTTCCTTGCCTTCATGTCTGCGGTCATCCGACTCATCCTCGCGCGTATTTCATCCATTCTAACCGCCATATCATGCGTGTTGGGGCTGGGATCCCGACCGTGATCGACGCCGACGGCGAGCTTGTCGCGCACAGGTTGCGGTGTAGGTACGCGGGTCGTGTTCGCGTCATGCTCGGTCTGCGCATCGGCTATGGCAGGTCGAAGGAAACCTGGATTGCTCGTGCCATTGGCCTTTACAGGAAGCTTGCTGTTAGTATAAATTGACGAGCAGGTACTACGCCGAGTAGTGGCTACGTCGTTCAGCGATAGAGAGAGGGCTGAGTCCGAGCGTAGGTGAGCGGGCAACGGTGAAGACGTTCTAGGTATCAGTCTCTTGATGGACTTGGGTGGGATGGGTGGAGCGTGTTCGAGATCAAGTGAAGGGCCTCTGTGATCATCGGTTGGAGTTCTCTGGAGTTGTACCCGACTTTCCCGAAGACCGTGACTTGCAGAAGCCGGACGGTGCGACTGAGATTCTGACGCGACTCTGGATGCAGCCATGCTGTTGCTGGCTGTCGGTTGGCACCATCCCAGGCTTGCTTTCGTCGGCCGGGTATAGTTGGGCGCATTCGTGGTAGACGCAGTCGACTTCAAGCTAGCTGTTGCAGGCGGGGCATGGCTGGGGGCGCTCGCTACGGCCGGAGTAGGCTGGCTCCCGTATTGCACCGAGGCTGATGAGAGTGATGGCGCAGGCGTAGGCGACTGGGATAACTGCGGGTATCGCGATGTTGTTTGCGAGGCTCGTGGGCTGTCGCGGATTGGGCTCGCTTGCGGGGTGATCGAACCACATCGCGGTCGCGGCAGTGTGGTAAACAGGCGCTTTCGCAGTGAAAGCGAAGTGCGGTGGTATCTAGAGATGGCGCTAGGCCGCGACGTGTTAGTCGTGCTGGCAGGTGCAGCTGGTCCCCCTGTGGTCGCGACTTCCTCCTCAGCACCGATGTACTTCCGCATAACAAGCTCCACCTGAGCAGCAACATCGTCAAAGTCCAGCGCTTCGAGCACATCGAGCGCTTTCATCTTGTCGTTCAAGGCTGCGCGCCACTCATGACTGATCGCGTTTTGAGATTGGGCTATCATCTTGTTGCGAGCCACCATGTCCGACCAGTCGCGATAGGACTGAAGTCCTTTCTTCATGTCTAGGCAAGCTTTCGCGAGGTGCTTCTTGCTTACAAGGGCACATGGTTCTAGCGCCTCGAGCACAGCAACGTTCGCTGCGTTGCCGGTGAGCTCACGCCAGATGACTAGCAGCCTTTGTAGGTCGCATCCGACGGTCAGCAAGTTATTGCTACTTATCTCGAGTACATCTCGTACGTCGCCGCAAATGTCGTCAATGGTGCTGGAGTTCACAAGAAGAGCGAAGTGAAATCGTTCGATGCTGTTGACGAGCTCGTGGTAGGGGTCAAAGGATAGATCAGAACCCAAGGGCGACTCGATGACGGTAGAGCCTTCCGAGACACGGGGACTTGTGGAAGCTGGGATCCAGTCAGGTGTGGCACTTCGCGCATGTGTATGATGAGGAACGCGTGTCAGTGGGCTTCCGAAGTGGGTGGTGGTAACGGTCGTTGAGGAGGAGATCGTGTCGGCTATGGGAGAGGACGATTGGGTCTCGGGACGCTGTTGTTGCTGCGTATACTGTGCAGGTATCGGTGAAGCCACAGGGGCAGAGATAAGCAGCTGTGTTCTCACCCCCGTAGAAAGGTTGTTGTCCGGCTCTAGCCTCAACGCAGTCCCAGTCATCTCCACATCCTTTGATCGACCGTCACGGTTGTGGACACGCTCCCAGAGCCCTTTCGCCGCCCGCTTGGCCCAAGACTCCTTGACATCGTGGCCGTGCTGACCTTTGCGCGATGCCATATCAGCATCACTGCCCTTCCAAGTCTTCCCACACGGAACGAACTTACCTCCTGCGACCGTATTCGCACGTCTGCGCCATCTTCGCAAGCCGCTATTCTCTGCGGCCTCGGGGTCCATCCGGCGGGTAACGAAAGCGCTGAACGCACCCATTGTGTCTTCGGCGAGCTGGGTATTTGGAAGAGAGAGGATACGCTCGTTGCCGAGATGCAGGATTGATTGCTGGAAGAGGCTTCTCGTATAAGCTTGGTTAGTGGTCGGTACGTGTATGAGATGTGGTGTGAAGCTGTCAGTCGCGCAATATTGCGGGTTGCGCGCATACGAGACCCTCGCCATTGTGGCTCTCGTTACCAGACATTTCGGTGTGGAGAGGCATGACACAACGGCTTATTGGCTCTGCTCGCTGGTCGCTGGTCAGTTTTACGTATGCTGCAAGGGTCCAGGAAGCTCTTTCGTGGCCAGCGCAATGGCAAATCTACCAGTTATCAGGAGGTTTGTCGGCCTTGAGATATTCATTCGAGCGTCTGCCCTGCGCATGTCAGTCTGTCGCAATATGCCGGATGGCACTGGGCATCTGCAGGCTGCGGGCGCTGACAAGCTGCTCGGGGCGACACCGCGCAGCCTGCATTCGGTACCAAAGTATGCACAACATGGAGTGCGACCGCCTCGCCAGCAAAATGGATGGTCATTATCGATTCTTTTATTGTCGCATGCTATCCGAGCCCCTACAAAGCAACCAGTGTAACTCCTAAACGCTCAAACATGTATCCCCATATAACGCTACCCCGTTGTTCGCGGTTGGCGCCGGCTGCGGGGCGGGGCGGGTTCGTGACGGTCGTGGAACGAGGGGGAATGCAACATCCATCAAGCACTATTCACTGTTAAGTTCAGTTACTACGTGTCTCGCCAGGACGCTGGCGAAGAAGAAAAGACGAGGGGGGAGGATAGGAGGGGTGGTGGTCGAGGCCTGGACTGCACGGCGAGCGCGAACGCTAACGATGTCTTTGGAAGGAAGCGGGCAACGATAGTTGTGTTATTGGCTGCGTGATGCCAATTAGCACTCGTCCATGCTCATCATCCAGAGACACTTCGTCGCCTTCGCTCGCTCGTACAGTCATGCATAGGCTCGATGTAAGCGAAAGGGCGAAGGCAGGGGTCGACTTACTACAAGCTCAAAGTCAAATCGCCGCGGATACTCGCTTTGAGTTCAATCTCAATCTCCAGATTCGCCTCGAGCGTCAGCTTCAGGCCGTCCTGGTCCTTGAGCTCGCTGCCCTTTTGCTGCGGCTCCATGCGGTAGGGCTGGTTGGGGTCGGTGCCGCGCATGGGGATCTCGCCTCTCATGGCGCGGGCGTATGTGACGGGCCCGTCCATGGATGTGCTGTCCGGGCCGATGCGCTCGAACATGCCCATCTTCTGGAGATCGCCGTTTGCGTCGGCTTCCTCGAGGGCTTCCAGCGACGTCGTGTGCATGTATTTGCCGTTCTTCTTGTCTTCTTCGATGCGGTTGCGGCGGGCGCGGCGCGACGACGAGCGCGACCGGGCGGATTGCAGGCCCGCCTCGCGCTTGTCCTGTTTGGCCTTGTTCACAGCCTTCTCCTGCTGCATCGTTGACCGCTCGTGCGGCTGGTTCTCATAGTCGGAGTCCTTGTCGGCCATGTCGTCGGGTATCCTTGCTATCATGCAAGGCCTCGGGCGGTTGGAGGAGGCTGTTCTGGATGGGGATTGTCTGCGTGATGGAGGTGAAGAATTGCGCAGAGGTGTCGAGGTAACGGCGATGGATGCGAGCAAGATGTGAAGTCAGCAAGGTCGAGCAGCAAGCGGAGCTACTACACGCCTACGCACGCCACGACTGGTACGGGCAGCTCCACTCCAAAAACAAGATTACTCGCAACGGCCTGGTCCTCTGTAGCCCCCAAAGCAAGGACGCCGCCGCCGCAAGCCTGCACCCCTGTCTTTTCATCCGTCGTACCGTCTCACCGTTTCAGGCTCGCTACGGATGACGTCAGGCCCACATCGAGCGACACCAGCCATTGCTGTCCCAATCGGGTTGACAGCCGCTGCGTGACGTATGTCAAGACGATGCATCTGCGCGCGTCTTTGCAAGTCGCCCGACATTTGCACACATGCTGACGACGCGCGCAGCGATGGCGAAGCACAACCAGTCTCGCGCCCACGCGAGTGGCTAGTCCGCCCGCCGATCGCTTAACGCGGACCGTTGATCTTGCGGGCAACGGCTGTGCAATACTCGATCCTGGGCATAATAGTCGTCAAGTTTATACTCAGGCTCGGATAGCTTACTTCATGATCAATGAGTCGACGTCGCATGCGCTCTCGGTTACTGGGGTATTATTACAGGGCCTGGTAATAACACGCCTACTCGAGACATTCCCTGACGCTGCGATGATCATGACGAAGTTGGATGAGATTACAGAAATACCAACACCATCAGTATGCCAGCGCGATGATTCAGCGATGTAATGGGATGCAAGTTGTTCATTGTGTCGTATTATACTGCAATACGTATCGTAACACTACATGCAAAACTCCAAACCAAACGCCATTATGATCTCCCAATGTAACAATTGATGCGTTTCGTGCAGTCATCCTCGACCGTCTCCTAGTTACTGCGCAAAGTTAGCATTTGGCTTTGGTGATGAATGACTACATGCTTGACTTACAGCAATCCGAGCGTGAGATCACCATGGATCTTGGCCTTCAACTGGATCTCAATGTCGAGGTTGAGTTCCAGGCGCAGCCTCAGCTGCTCGCCTCCGTCCTTTCCACCCTCTTCTTCACCGCCGCCGCCGCCAGTCAGACCTCCCAGGGCCTTGCCAGCGGTGTCTCCGACTTGGTTGACGGCGTTACCAGCAGTGTTTTGGACCATGTCGCCGGCTCCACCGAGTGCATCGCCTCCAGGGACGTTCTCGGTGATGTCGTCTAGCGGACCTCCGCCCTTGCCGCCCTTCTTTTGGCGCTGGCGGTTGCGACGGCCTCCAGATTGGGACACGTCGGATCGCGCATCAGACTCGGCACCGGAGTCTGCGCCCCGTCGGCCACGGCCACGCGACTGGCGGCGTCTCGATTGCGACTTTGACTTTTCTTGTTGGGGTTCGTCGGACTCGTTGTCAGCGTCGCCGCCGTTGGTTTGCTTCTTGGATTCTGCGTCCTCTTGCTCAGCTTTCCCTTCGCCATCGCTTTCGGGGGCAGGAGTGGCGTCAGGAGTGGGCTGCTGTTGAGGCTTCTTTCCGCCCAGCTTCTTCGGCGTCTTCCTTTCGGTTTTCTTACTCGATGATTCCGCACTGCCCTTTGCGCCTACCGAGGCGTTGGCATCCGCGTTTCCCTCTCCGGAGACAGACTGCTTGGTCTCTTCAACTGTGTCCGCCATGGTGCTGGTTGGGTGGTTCTTGTGTGGGTGGGAAGTAGTTAGACGGGTGATGCGTGACGAGCTGAAGGTGCTTCGGAGATTGTTGCGAGTACAGAGCCGCGGCGCAATTCGTTAATAAGAGAAAAGCGGCCTGGGAACAGGAACCGGTTTGAAGCTTCAAGGTACCTGCTACCCCTGCCGCACTCGAGCCACCCGTCATGCAGTCTGACGCACCATGTGGCACCCACATCCACCCCACCGCCAGCGTCCCAAAACTTGACCCCATCCCTGCGCGCTGCCAACCTGATTATTTTAGATCTGAAATTGTGCTTGCAACAGTCTAGCTGTTCCGCTTATCCCTTAGTGTCTAGTATTATTTTAGAGGTATTAGGCATTAGAATGCACTAATTAATTTATCTAGTCTCTATAGCATAATCTACTAAGTTCTTCTCTATATATTTTAACTATTTAACTATTTATTTATAAATTCTTTTATTTATTTTACTACTTCTTTAGCTTATAAGTTAAGTAGTTAGTAATTTTAGTAGCTTTAATTATTATTAACGTTTAGTAACTATAGTTATTAACTAATAATAAAAGTTATAGCCTTAGTATTAAGAGCTTTAATAGTATATTAAAAAAGTATCTTAAGCGCTATTATTTTTTTATTTATAAATAAAATAATATTACTTAAGAAATATAAAATAGTATTTTTTATAGCGTATATAAGTACTAGCTTAATAGTAATTACTTTAATACTTAATTAGTATAGGCTATACTAAGCTCTTAACTAGAAGATTATACTTAATATAAGTTAGTAATATAAGCTAAGATTATCTTTAACTATAACTATATTACTAAACTTATTATAGCTAAAATAAACTAAGAAAGTAAGAGATATTTAATTTATAGTATATAGTATATAGTAAATATAATAATATTAGTAAAGATTTTATAGTAATAGAAAGAAGTTAAGTACTTACGTAAAATTTCTACTTTTAAAAATAGGTAACTATAGTTATAAAATTTATACTTATAGTTTAGCTATTTTTACTCTTCTATAGAATACACACTAAAAATTACTACTTAAAACCCTAACAGACACCTAGTGTTCCGCTCAACCCGATGCGCTGCGAGCTCGTGTGCCTCTGGTCTCGCTTGCTCGTCATTGGCGCGCGCACCAAGCCCAACAGCGATGCATCGAGCAACGCGTCAGCTGAATGCGCTTGACATCAACGCTTTGGGACATGCTGTGGCACGGGCGAGGCCTCGATCAGTGGTCTGGCGGAACGTTTACCCACAGGGTGCGGGAGACCGTTTAGTGCTGGCGTGGAAATGGGAACGCGTCTTCATAGCGTGCACAATAGATCTGAGGTAGCGCAGCGTCGAAAGAATCCCGCGATAAATTCGATATCATGAGCGTTGTGCTAACGATCGTTGGGAAGACGCAATCGCGGGGCGCACCAGATCTTCCCCGATGGCCGGCCCGAATTGCGCCGGTCTGGCGGGTATCGTGACGACGGCATTTCCATACGCACCTCCTTCGGAGTTCAACGAGAGCAACCAGTCAATTGGACACCAGCATACTACCATTCCAGCATGACATCCCCAGAAGCTGCAGATGCAGCCGCAAAGCAGCGGATCATCAAGCACATGAACGCAGACCACCACGACTCCGTACGCGCCACCCACTTCAAGCACCATTGATGTCGAATTCGACTCCCAGTCCTAATGTTGACCATAGATACGCCGGTATGCCGAAGCGTACGCTTCCAAGTCCATGATGCAGAGTCGCTCGGCGCAGATGGTCGACATTGATCTGAACCAGATGGTCCTGAGCTGTGGTGGGCAACAAGCTGTCATCGCCTTCAACCCACCGATGAAGGCCATGCGCGAGGCTCGCGAGCGGCTTGTTCAAATGGACAAAGACGCTCTCCAGGCCCTGGACCGAAGCGACATCGCCATCACTAAGTTCGTTCCTGCGTACATGCGTCCTGCTCATTTGTGGAACTTTACGCAATGTGTGCTTGCCCTGCTCTTGCTACCGCGGCCGGCAAACTGGCAGCCTGGATCGCTTCTCTACGACAGCGTCTTGTATCTTGTGCCAGGCTTCGCGAGCTTCGTCGCTCGAATCGGCTTCACGGTTTGGGCCATCATGGTACCTATCCACATGGTTGAAGCGATCATCATGGCGAGGAAGCTTGCAAAACACGGATGCACATTTCTTGACGCGGTATGGTGGAAGTGGGTGGGTACGTGTCTCGTTGAAGGGTTCACGTCCTTTCTCAGGCTGAATGCGCTCATCGCGGAGAAGAAGAAAGAGAAGGACGCGAAGAAGCATTAAGGACTACAGAGTTTTTGATTCGAAGGCATCTTTCGTAGTCTAGCATACTCAACTTCATGAGATTTTCTCAGACGGCGATGCGCCCATATACCATACCGGTCAGGACTTCTCCTTGGCATCCAATCGAGCACTGCGAACGTAATCCTGAACTCATCGAGTTGGTAATACAAGAAACGGTATATGCTTGCAACGCCAACTCGATGAATCCGGCATTACGTTCGCAAAGAATGTTCTTCGTAGAGTCTACACTATGCACGTCTCTATATTATCAGTTAGATACGCTCCCGTTGCGAAGAGTTCATCGCATGTGTTGCGTTTCGACATGATAAGCGTCTCATTCGCTTTCGTGATATCCAGCTGTCTCGCGAAACCTATACTCGCCTTCCCCGTCGAGATGTTTGACTTTTCATTTTGATCTGGGGATAGGGATGCCGGTGGCAGGGAACTAGTTTATGTTGGCAACGACGTCGGTTTTGTGTGGATCTTGTTGCATGGCAAACTCATATTTGACATCTCGTGTACAGCTGATTGGTGCCGGGTTCTGCTCATTGACGGTACGTCCAGGCCACAGCCATGTATCGTGGATGCTGCATTGGTCAGCATTGAACAACTTGGAACGGCTCAACCACAAAAACGAAACAGCAAATTTTCAGAGTCCAGATGATACTCGCGTCTTCGTCTCTCATCCATATTCTTTCCGACACACTTAACATTCAAGTATCAAACTGAGCTGATACCGACACCTGGCAACACGGCGCACGAGAAGCCTCGACCCATACCGCCGCGATGCCTCCAAAGCGAAAGAACGAAGCAGTCACGAATGCAAAGCCTGCCAAGAGGGTTAAGACAGGCGGCGCCTCTACATGCGCACATCCTCTGAATAAGCCGGCCGGCGATGAGACACCCGCGAACGACGACATCAAGAAGGGAAAGCGCAAACAACCCCTCTGCCAAAGTCCACGACCATCTACAGCTACGGCAGATGGTACAGCGTCCTCTCCATTCATGGCCCTACCGACCGAACTGCGCTGCCAAATCTACAATTACCTATCAGCCATCGTCTACGATCCCGTTTTCCCGGAGCCAGGTATCTGCAACTGGGAAGTATGTCGGATGCCAACCGCACTGCTTCAACTCAACAAGACTATATACGAGGAGGTGAAGCATCCCGCGGTACAGAAGCCTCTACAGAAGGTCGACGATGAGCTTGCGCCCAAGATCATTCTCGGTCCGACACGCGCTGAGATAGACCCTGTGTATGTTGCGCTCTCGGATACCTTCCATCTCGCCGGCAAACAACTGCGTACGTACCTAAATGGGCCGCAAAAGCACAGTACTGCGGTCAAATATGTTAGCCTGAAGATCGCATCGTGGTACAATGACACGTATCTACGGCAGCAAGTACAAAACGGGAACATGAGGGCTTCCAGTGCGCAGACCAAGTGCAAAACCAAGCACTTGCACAAGTTTGTGAAACAGACCTTAAGAAGAATGGCGCTTAGGAAGACTTGCGAGGTTCGCATTCGAATCCTGAACCACCCACTGGGGCCGCTTCATAAGCGAATATATAAGCTCGGTGATCCATTCTGTAACTACACGGAGTACGAGAGATTGGCCGCGAAAGACACTGTACGGCGAGCTCTGAGTGTCGGGATGAAGCGCGAACTCAAGACCGTGTACACAGCAGCGCGCGCAGACGCCCACAAAGGTATTCTGAAGATGATGGCGAACCACTTTCGATCGCAGGGGATGAACATCACGTTCTCGGTGGCGCGCGCGAGAGATCGGGGCTTGTTTGACATGGCCAGGTCACTCTGTTAAGTGTTTTGTCGAAGGGGATATCGCTGCACCCGCTCTCATCACTCTCCAAGGCAGCACGAGGATGTTCAGTAGTTGGACAAGCCCGACAATGTACCCTAGAATTACACATCGTGCATAACTCTTCTGATCCTTTGCCGATACCTACGTGATGGTTTCAACCGGGAGGTGTGTGTAGGACCAATCGAGTTTCTTGCTGTCAGCTGGGGTCCTTGATGCGCGAATGCAATGGCAGACATGGCTGCTGAAGTTGACACTCGCGTCGAAATTGCAACGTGAAGACCGCAACCTCCCGTTCAGGGGATGCGCAATAGGACGTGAGCTGCCAACCATTGCGATTTACATTGCTTACACAACGTGAAGATTGGGAGCATAACCTTCATCGATAGCGACAAGGCCGACATGGGCAGCAACGACCCAACGAGTACGGTTCTAGACTCTATGCCGAGATCACTGTGCCATCCTCTACTGTTCGCTATACCAGGATAGCATCGTAGGAGACCATATAATGTCTCCACAAACATGTTGTCCAGTTATATTGCGACGTTGTCTTCCTGCTGTGCACCGTGGCGCATGTTCGATCGCGCGTTCTGCGGAAGTTCGCGGAGGTATACGGAAGTGCATCGCGCCGAAAGAGGACGGTTCGTCATGCTCTGGGTGACATCAGTATCCCGGTGCAGTTTGCATTGCGCACACCCGTGTAGTCGTATCCGCGTCTATGCTGTTGTCAATGTGTGTGAGCACATGCGCTGAAACGTAGTAAGAGGGCGGCGCCTGGTGTTGATGCATGAGGTCACGGTCGTTGAGAGGGAACGCAGATGCGCATCGGCGATGGTAGGAACTCAGACATGTGATGTGGTGAATGCTGTCCTTTCGTTTGCGACACCTCGGCACCAGGCAGCTCGGCAGCTCGGCCAAGAGTTTAGGAGCGTAGAACCTCTGCTCCGTTGGGAAGCGATGTGTAGGGCGGATGCGGAGTCGAGCGCTCAGTTCTTTCGGGTTGAACCATGAGTGAGTGCCCGGGACTTGGAAGCAACGTGTCTTGCGGATGTGGGATGTGTCTTGGGCAGCGCACTGAGCGTCTCTCAGATCCTTGGTCTTGGAATGTCCGATGGAGAAAACGTTCGGCATTGCCGGCCATCACGATGTGTTGTGGAGGCCATTAGAAACTGTTGCGGAGGCTATGGGGACTAGTACTGGGCCGTGGAGTCTTGGGGCCCGTAGTCCAGTCCCTGGGGTCAGTGCGGGTATGAGGGGTGTTGCGACGTGCACAGAATGACCGTGGTCACTGACTTCGCATTCGTATATTATTTCTCTGTCGGCGGGGAACGGTCCAGTCGCGATGTCGTAGGTGGTGCACTCGTTGGGTTGTTGGTGCCCACGTCGGCGTTGCCGCTATCGATAATGGCAGTGTTTCAAGGAGCAGCTAGCCGTTCCCATCGACGCTATGACGTCGGTGCTCACGCCTCACCACCGTTCTGGCGCCTGTCGAACCTTATTGATGTCCTAATTCTGTATCACACACGACCACACTCTTCTTCCTCTTGCTTCTCTTGCTTCTCTTTCTATCCGTCATCACTAACACCTTGTCGCGAACTCTCGACTTTACTTTATGTCCCTCCCTGGCATCTCTCTAGAGTGTACTCACTGAAAGCATTGCCATTACCACATACTTACAAATCCTCGGGAGTGTTCACGGGTAGAGCGGCGAGTTGCGCACCACGGCTCATTCGACCTCGCGCACGGATATAGTACTCCGATGGTGTACTGCTAATACTCTTACTTTCACGACCCTTCTTTACAAACCCTCTTCAGCCTACGATCTGTCGCACAAAATCGATTTCCACAGATCGTGAAGAAATTCCGGTTTATTAGTGCGAACATTACCGTAAAGTTTGACATGGATACGCTAACGACGTCTAGGTCACTCTAGGTATGAAACTACGATCGGGCTTACGGTGAACCCTCGACATACACGATGCAGGCTCATGTCCTATTATCAACAAAAGTATTCCTGTTATACAGCGATGAATTGAAAGCCCTCGACGCGAACAAAAAGCAATGATGACGACGGCGATGCGCGATGGGAAGGTTAGACGTAGCTTGCAGCGGGCCGTTCGCCTCGACCCGCATCCTTGGCTATATGTCTTATACCACGACCCAGACTCGTCCAGAACACGCAGAGCTCGAAACCCGAAGTGCGCCCGTGCGCACAAGCGTAGAATATTGCTTCCACTGAAGGGTCATGCCTCAGACCAAGTGTATTTGGTGGCTGCAGGAAAAGGCCCTTCCCAAGTTGTCTTCGCCCAAGCCGAACTCAGGTGTGTAGTATCAACGGTGAAAGAACCTCTTCGCCAGGACTAGCGCTTCCGCATCTCTACACCGACGTAACGCCGCTGGAATCGTTCGATATCCGCAGCTTGAACTCCACGGTTGTAACGGCGGCCCACTTAACTATATATGTGAGACCGTACCCCAGGAAGCGGCACGATATATCGGCTGCACTTGCCCACCTGTTCTCCAACTCTTGAGCTATCTTATATTCTCTTGTCATCTCTTGTCTCTTCCTCTCTTGGCTCATACTCTTCTCTCGACATCTCCTCCTCTCTTGGCCCATCCTCTTCTCTTGGCTCAAAGTCTTGTCGTGACTACTACTTATCCTCTCTTGACCCCTACTCCTACTCCCCCTACTCCTGCTTCACTCAACAACCATGGAGGACGCTACCTGGAAAGAGACCCGACCAGGTCGATGGGAGCGCGCGCAGACCTACCTCGAGAGGATCAACATACTCACCCGCAACGTCCCCAACGCCATCGGCCGCGACAACTGGGCCAAGAACGCCGTTGCCAAACTCGAATTCCACCTCGACATCAAAGACCCCGCTGCCTACCTGCGAACGGCCTGGAAGCAAGTCCGCTACAACCATCCAGAGATCGCCGCATTCCCATACAACGGTCGATACATCTACCGCGTCGGAGACGAGCCCTCCATCGCCTTGTGGGTTTCGGCGACATTCTCCGTCGCCGAGGGCAAGACCGTTGATGAACTGCTGGGACGGATTCCACGGAACGAACAGATGATGTGCTACTTCCTTCCCGACACATCCGAAGTCATGATCTGGTCGCCGCACTACCGCGTCGACGCCCGCGGCGCAATCTTCTGTCTCAACCACCTCGTCGAGTCTCTGGCCAACATGAATCCCAACTTAGTCTTTGGCGGGTGTGCCAAGAACCTGACGCCGAGCATGGAGTTGACGCTTGGAATCGGGCACGAGAAGACACCAGAGATCGAGGCGCAAGCTGAGAGTCGTCTCGCAGCACTAGAGCCCCACAAGCCAGCCCTGGAGCTGACGCCCACGATGAAATCGCAGAGACCGGGTTACACCCAGCGACACTTTGTCAAGCTGTCCAAGCGCGACACAAAGACCGTCATGGACAGTTGCGAGACGCGCGCTCTGGCCATCGACGTCGCTCTACACGCCGCCCTCATCAGCTCCGTTGCCAAACTCGCACAAACAAAGGAAGCGCGAAGCTTCATGGCGTCCTTCCACTCCAACCTCCGCACTCTGATCCCAGAAGGCGCAGCGCCAGAGAACTCGCCTACAAGCTACACCAGCGTCATCACCACGGAAGTCATCGTCTCGCCGGAAACCAACTTTGACTCTTACTACTCGCAACTCGCACCCGTCTACGCCGCGGGCTACGCGCCGTACCTCCCGTCGTCGCCGTTCTTCCACCAGCGCCTCGAAGAGACGCTGTACGTCAAGAAGTGCGAGGCAGATGGATCACCGCAACCCCGCTTTGCTTTCCTGGGCGAAGTAGACGAGCAGGTCAGCAAGAACATCGGCGACGGACTCGTCAAAGTCAGAGACTTTTGGCTGGGCGCCGAGACCCTGACGATGCGCATGATGGTGCACACGTGGATCTGGGAGGGCCAACTCGTCCTTAGCGTCTGCTTCAACGAGAGCTATTGGGATAAGGAGCAGGCGGCGAGTCTGCTCGGTGGCATGGAGGATGCGCTGATGGGGGTTGCACTGATGAAGTCATCGAGGGTGGATAGTGCGGCGGGTTCGAAAACATCGTTGGTGGATGTCAAGTTGGCGGAACTGACGATATAGGCTGCTTCGACCGCGTGGGTAAGATTTGATAATCTCTAGTTACAGTGCACGATACCATGAATACGAATGTTTCCTCCTGTTAACTCACGCAATGCATGTGATATCGACGCCTGAGATGTAGTCTGTGTGGTAATGAAGTTTGCTGTGGTCCGCGCCGATGTCCGCGGACAAGTGCTTCAAGCATAGCGGAGCGACCACCCCTCTTTCCGGCCCGTGAATACTGCTAGTCATGTCCCCATCTGAATTTGAGTTCTATCGCTCCCTGCCTAAGGCGTACAACTACAAAACCAGCATCTAGGCGTACACGTGAATTGGGTCGTGTGGAGCGGAGCAACGGCTATTGTGTTCAAAGTCTACCGAGAGAATGTGACTTTGCGGGGTTTAGCTCACCATCCGCGTGACGCCTCGTCATACATGTTGCGCAACATATGCTGGATGTAACATCTAGTCTACGAGGTTGTGCCGAAGTCCGCAGTGGCCGACAACATCCCGCGAATGCTGCTGTCATCGCCATATTTCCTAAGACCAATTTCAAGACTTTGAAGGCTCTTCTTAATAGCCTCTTTTCCTTGCGATTCCATGAAATCTACGCATGCGATCGGGTACTCGTAAGTCATCTTGAGAGTGAAATGTGGTTTCAACTTCCATGAGTCCATGATTCCGTCGTCCTTGTTTTCATCGTCGTTGGACTTAATGTCGCTTCGACACAGACCTGCATACCGTCGAACGTCTTTCCAGTTGGTTATCCTAATCTCAATCCCATCCTTGTCAAACCACAGCTCCATCTGCTTGGAGTAGGGAAGCACTCCAAAGCTGTGAGTATGGAGTGACAGGGAAATATCGTTTTTCGACACACGGCGTACTACAACATGTATGTTCTCTTGATCAGGTATCTCTTCACCAATTCTCCCAGGTACTCCAACATTCGTACTCGGACAGAGCAGTATATCGCGAGATGTACAGTTCTCGATGGTAGCACGCCAATCGGTGAAACCGCCCCGCGGGCAACATCTTTTTCGCAAATCCAGTCCGCGGGCATAAATCTTTCGCAAATTCAGTCCGCGAGCATAAGTCGTCGCGCGCATGGGAATCGACACTTGGAATCCATGGCTAAACTTGAAAGCGTTCTCCACACTCTTGCGCGTGATTCCGAGCGCATGCCACAACAACGTCAGAAGATAAGGACAGGCCCACGCTGAAAAACGGGTGGCCGACCTAAAGAATAAGCCAAAGGTGCTCTCGCTATAATCGACTGTAAATCTCTCTTGCCCTGTCACAGACAGTAGACTGTAGATGCGATCTCGAGGATCGCGGCATTCCAGCGTGCGCCCGAGCTGGTAGAAGATGAACCAGAAGGGGATTGCAGAACCGTGGCGGAAGTATGTCCCTTTCAGTAGCATCTGAATCCTCCTCAACCGTGGATCATCCTGACAGTGATGCAGTAGCTCTTCCAAAGCGCGCGTTTTTGCCACGCTACAAACGAAGATCCGTTGCGGACTCCGTACCGATAATAGCTCCTGAACAGTCCAGGCGCGGTTCCAGTAAGGGTGATTTGCCAAATCAGTCGTACAGATATCGAAGAGATCATTCCTGTCCTTGAAGCACCCGTCGTTGGAGCCAACAGCTGATGCCGTGTCCAGCGCAACCCATACGTCACCATATCTTCTCAAACCAGTCGGCCCAACACCTAGGAGACCTTTCCTCTTCACATAGCGAGTCTTCTCCAAGACGGCAATTGCACGCTCCATCTGCAAAAAAAGGTCTCGGATACGATTCTCTTTGCCATCACCAAGCCACACGAGAACCTCTTTGGCGTTCTTGTAGATATCTCCCATCCGCTGTACCTGCAGACTCTTCTCGACATCATCGCTTTGATTGATACAAAGCGCGTCGATCCAAAAGTACTCACCGAAACTGCCATGGCTCGCAAGTTCCAGGAAGTCATAAAGATCTTTTCCGACTTGCATTTCTTGGTTATTTATCCTAGTTGGACAGGGCCCCTCTTGGTAATTTACCCAAATTGGGTAGGTTTCAGATTGGTCTCCCCACGTGTACGAAAGGCATCTGTATGCTGTACCCTCTGTGTCTTCCCACAGCTGAACGAGGACCTGACCAAAGGCGTCCGGCGCTATTACTCTGAGCAAGCGCACTGAATTTGGATTGACCAACGGTTCATACACAAATTGGGTTTGACCAGTTGGATACATCGCTTCGCTGTCCGTTGTTGTAATCTGAAGGAAGAGCAGTGACAGTCTAGCGACTCGGTCTTGAACTTAGGCTCAGAAGTTGGAAATGAGCTGATGAAGGCGTGGGAGGGTAGGTGCTCTACCACAGTACGGTCTTGAATCAAAACTCCCACTAGATTCAATTAGAGAATACGACCTAGGAAGTATCTCTTGTTTGTTGATCTTTCAGCAAATGGGCTCTTATCGTAACGTAGCGTTGTTGCAAGATGCGGGAGAAGCTGTCCCGTTCTCGACTTTCGCAGGTGAGCCAGAGGCGGTAACACCCAGGATGCAAAGAGTCGAGCGCGCCTTCGACTTGGAGCTGGAATTGGGTTGGATCACGCTGGTCATGGAAAATGCGCTTTCGCACGCGGGACAATTGCGATAGCGTTGACGTGATTCGCTGAGTGCAGTCTGTGACACACAGGCTGCGGGAGAAGCTCACACGATGCAAGAACAGAAAGGACAATCGGAAAGATCAGGCTGGGAAGAGTTGCGGCCGTTGTTGTAGGTAGGAGCGATAGGCGTCCAACCGTGCGCTGCTTGCCTGAAGCCAGCCACATATCACGTGTGCCGCCTATGATTCGTCCCGAGCCCGGAAGGTCATCACTACTAGCCCGCCCTCCACAGCACCAGCATGGCGCAGTCACTATCAGCCTAATCACGCAAAACATCCAACAATCGATCAAAAAGCGGCTCGTATTGATATAGCCAGTCCCACTTACTCTCAATACTACATACGCCATTTCCGCCATACCGGCGCCATGCCGTCTCACCCACCCCCCCGCCTGCAACAAAGGAAGATGATAACGTAACCGTGTGGTAGTTTGCCCCGCTATATAAAAGTAACGCCAAATAGGGATATGAGGTATCGTGCAACGAAGCCAGAACAAAAAAGAGATAGATGACGACGATAGCAGATAAGTGTGCAATCATAATGCTTGAACAGCAAACAAGAGCAATGTCGTTATAAAAAATGCAGTCCGCTCCGGGATAAAATGGGTATATGTGGTGTAGATAGTTCCGAGATGCGATGTGGTGTAGATGCGACGTGTGGTAGATGGGTGTGGATGACGCGGATGTGGTGTGCTCAGATGCGCACAAAGTTGGTGGTGCTCGCGGCGGCTTGGTAGTTCTGTGCTGGTGGTAGGGAGGGCAACGAGGGCAGGGATAGACGCCCGGCTGTAGTCAAAGACCTGCACTTAGCTTATCTGATCTCAACATGAAAGATGAAGATAAGAAAAGCTGCGCGCTAGGGGTGGGTGGGTAAGTAGGAGAGAAGCACTAACGCTCTCGGAACCATCTTGCGATCCTGCTCTTCTCGTCGGCTCTGCCCGCCTCGAGATGGGTGCTGCGCTCGTAGAGTTCCTAGATGATGTCAGCATACTGGAGATCCCATCAGTGATGAAGACTTACCTCGTCGTCTTTGTTGATCTTGATGTCCAAGATCAGATTCCGAATCTCTTCGCACCGCTGCCAGTTCGGGTACGGAGTGCCCTGCGCGCGTTGTACTCCGACGATGACTTCGCCCATAATCTCAAACTTCCGCCAGTTTATCCGTTCCTTGCCGACGACTCCGCCTGGTGGAGGCTCTCGGCTGTCGCGTTTCCCTACGACGCTTTCCAAGACGCTGACGCCGGGATGGGGTGCGAACGCAGAGTCTGTCTTCTTCTTGTCCCCGACGAAGGTTGAGTTGCCTTCCGAAGCCGATACGAGGTCGCGGCGGTGTAGTGGGATATATGGTATGCGCTCGCCGGAACTATTCTCCCACGCCAGTCGGTATGCAGAGTGCGACTTGGTCTGGCCCATGAGGATGTCGAGCTTCCAGAAGTCTTGGTTGGTGGCCTGAGGGACCAGCTCCCGAGTTGCTACCAGTCGTCCGATGGCGGTGCCGTTGATGCCTGCCATGACGGCACCTAGCATGTTGTAGTTGTTGAGTTTCCGAAGTTGTCGTGCAATCTTCATCCACTTCTCCATCATGAGCGCCCTGTGCTTGGGCTTGTCGCGCAGGAGGATGTAGTTGGTGACGAGGTAGGCGACGTGGTTGAAGTGCTCGGTCATGCGTGTAACATTTTCGAGATTCTTGCATCGCTTCTTCTCTTCGGCATTCAAGCTGACGTGGCGTACAAGATCGCGCGGTCGTACCGAGGAGAACATGATCCAGTCTATCCGGGTGAGTTCCTTTGCGATGGCTTCGTCCGATTCGCCCATAAGCTGGTGCCACTGAATCTTGGACATGGGTTTGATTGGGTTGGGTTCCAGTTGTCGGGCGAGTCGCTCGTTCTTCTCTACTTGGGTAAGCAGGATCTGCGATGAGCCCATGGAGCCGTTGGTGGATGAAGCGCCACCGGTCACGCTACTGCGGGCAACCGAATTCCGTGCCGAACTGCTCATGGACATGTGGCCGAGTGCTCTTGAGAACTCGTCCTCGTCGGAGTCTTCGTCCAGGACGTTGTTGTGGAATGTCGGTATGTTCTCGTTCTGGGCTCGTTGGCGGTCGCTGCATGCCCAGTCGGTGTCATCGTCCTCGGTGACCATTTCAAGATCGCGGATAATCTCGGTTGCGGCGACTGAAAACTCGCGGTTCAAGGCCAACGACGATGCAAACCTTCGAATGAGTCGGCGTGTGGTTGGGTAGGCGAAGTCACCGGGATAGTAAGCCACCCAGTGTTGCAATATCGACAGGTAACGGAGCTGGGCAATGATGCGGATCATGGGCAGTTCTTTGTCCTTGTTCTGCGACTCGAAGCGCTTGATGATGGCCTCTAGTAGCTGGCCCGGGGTTGCGAATCTCCGATACAGAGCCAGGAACACGGAGACGAACTTGGAGTCGTTCTTGGACATGGGCTGGGCGAGCAGTCGGTCGACCAGCTGCTCGAAGGTGTAGCCATTCTCATCCGACGGCTTCACCGACATGATGCTTTGGCCGGCGTCCGAGTCGTTGTCATCAGACTCTTGGGAATCATAGCCGGGGGACTCTTCAGCGTTGAAAAAAGTTTTGTTGGTGTCGCTGGGCTTATAACGGTGGCCCTTGACCTCGCTTGAACCCCGTTGAAACCTCATGGAGATCTCCGAGCTAGCCCGCTCGTGCTTGCGGCTCCAAAGGTCCTTTTGGGTGATTGATTTCACGGCGGAAGAGTTGGCCCGGCGCCGCGCCATGGAAGCCTGGGACCTGGCTGCAGGGGGTCAATGACTTGCACCCTGGAATGGGCATTGGGGGCATGGAGGGGCATTAGGGGCATTGGGGGGCATTGGGGGCATTGGGTATGGGCAATTGGGCGTGTAACAAAAGGAAATGAGCCACTTACGGCGCTTGGCGGCTATGGCCGCGCGAGTGATGACGGACAGGCATCCTCGGTGCGTCTCCGGGGACGACTCGGAGGTCTGAAACACGCTCACGTCTCCAATGAAGGACTTTGCTTTCTGCTCCACAACCTGCGGATCGACCTCGCGGTGGGCGGGGTGCTGATCGCACTTGCAGGCGACGAGGATAAAGGGCAGGTGAGCCTTGGACAGTGTGCCTGGACTCAGTCAGCATGTCGCGTACGAGGCGCGTCGGCTGACGCGATGGCGGGGTACGCACTCAGCATCTCCGGGACCTTGCCCAGGCTCTCGTGGTTTGTGACGTCGTAGAGGGTGACGGCGG